CATCTCTATAAATTCTCAAATATTGGAAAATCAACAGGGCCATGTTCTTTCGTGACCCATCTGGAGGCCTTTTCGTTACTTTGCCGGAGGGGGAATCGATCATGGAGGCCTTCTATATCATCCTTGTTGCCCTTCTGATGATGCGTGGGTAGTTCACCACTGACATAAGGGTCCATAGCTAGTCGCTAGATGGCTTCTTTTCTCTCTTTGATCGTCAGTACAATGTTCTCCTCGATGTTCTTGGAGTTTTATCCGATGTAAACTTTTTTTGCGGTGTGTTTGTTGAGATCCAATGAATTGTGTGTTTATGATGTGAATATTTATGTATATTAATGGTGTCTTTTCTGAACTTTACTATGCATGATTGTTATAACTTTGTATTTCTCCGTAATTAATCTATTTGGTTTGGCTAACTAGATTGATTTATTCAATGGGAGAGGTGCTTTGTAATGGGTTTAATATTGCGATGCTCGATATCCCAGTGGCAGAAGGGGACAAGACACATACTTGTATTGTTGCCGTTAAGGGTAAAACAACGGGGTTTATTCATATTGACTGGGTTTACTTTGTTTGCATCATGTCATCTTGCTTAAGGCGTTACTCTGTTTTGTACGTAATACCATAGATGCATGCTGGATAGCGGTCGATTGGTGGAGTAATGGTAGTAGATGCAGGCAGGAGTCGGTCTACTTGTCTCGGACGTGATGCCTATATGCATGATCATTGCCTTGAGTATCGTCATAACTATGCGCTCTTCTATCAATTGCCTAATAGTAATTTGTTCACCCACCATATGCTATGTTCTCGAGAGAGAAGTCTCTAGTGAAAACTATGGCCCCCGGGTCTACCTTTATCATATATAAAAACACAAAAATACCTTGCTGCAATTTTCTATTTTATTTTATTTTATGTTTACAATTTAACTATCTACCACTACAAGATTTAATTCTTGCAAGTAATCGTCAAGGGGATTGACAACCCTCTTGATCGCGTTGGGTGCAAGTATTTGCTTTTGTACGCGCAGGTGTTATTCACAAGACTTTGTGTGATTCTTTTATTGTATTGATAACCTTGATTCTTAACTGAGGGAAATACTTATCTCTACTGTACTGCATCTTCTCTCCTCTTCGGGGAAATCCTAACGCCTCTCACAACTAGCAGGAAGAATTTCTGACGCCATTGCCGGGAAAACATCATCAAAACCTATGAAGTACCTTCGCACAAACAATCTTCTATTTGCTCTTATTTTTATTTGGCATTGCCTCTCATTTTCATCTCCCCCATTGATATGTCTCCATCATATCTACTTTTCCAAACACTTTTGACCTTGTTTTGAAATCTAACTTGCATGATTTGAATGGAACTAACCCGGACTGACATTGTTTTCAGCAGAATTGCCATGGTGTTATTTTTGTGCAGAAATAAAAGTTCTCGGAATGACCTAAAACTTTACGGATAATATTTCTGAAATATATAATAAATATTGGCGAAAGAATCAACGTC